TGTGTGTGTGTGTGTGTTACTTGCAAACATTTATAATAAAGTTTGTTTTTTCATTCACGTGGGCTTTAAAAAGTGAAGCCCTTTCTCTTCCACTTAACCCCCTACATTCCAGGAAGGCTGGAACAGGTCTGATTATGTTTACTGGCATTTAGTGTCTGGGCAAATAGTAAGCATTGCCAGTCAAAGAATACAAGCTGATTTTGAGCTGGTTTGAAAATATTATTTATCTCAGCGCATTGAAAGTTTATTTCTTCCTCACAGGCAGCGGGAGGGAGCATTATACCGTCCTGTAGATAGTGTGATCTGTCCTTATTTCAAAGATTTTGTTTAGAAAAACAGCTTTATTTCATTTTGCCTTTGGAAAAGAAATGCTGAGCTGGGTGATGGCTCAGTGGCAGCAGAGCACTTGCTGTGTTTGCATGAGGCCAGGAGTTCAGAGCCGCAGCGTTCGCGCAAATGCCAGCTAAGTCTGGCTACCTGTCTGCATTCCCAGCACACGGGAGGTGGAGTCAGACGATCCCGGAGCAAGCTGCTGAGCCAGGTGAGGTGAACTGGGGAAATCAGGTGTGCGACTTTGATTCAATACATGTAAGGTGCAGAGAGACGGAGGAAGACACACAGTCAACTTCTGGCCCCCACACGCATACATACACATGTGAACTTACACACGTGTGAACATCCATACACATGCGAATGAGTAATGTTATATTCACTCAAGCATTTACTGTAGGCCAACAGCTTCCTCACAGTAAAGGGAAAAAAGCAATTCATTCTTATTTCTTCAATGCACGTGAAAACCCAGTATGGCCAGCTTTTCCCATGACCAGGGTAGAGCGCCTCTCTGTGCCACCTCAACATGGGCCGAGATTGTAGCCAGAGCTTGTGTTTAGTAAGAAAAGGCCCATGTCAGTCCTCACCACCACAAACAAAAAACAGTGTAGTATTCAGAGTAAAACTGTGAAAGGGAAAAGCAAAGTGAGGTTAAGCGGGAGCACAGGTGCAAGAGAACGGTCTTTATTTCAGCTCTGCGTGCTGCAACCCGATTGTGACAGTGTGCAAGCATCTTCTGGATGAGGAAAGACGTCTAAAGCTGCAGGGGATGGAGGCTGGCCTGGCTGAGCGGGGGCTGAGCCGGAAGTCAAACCAGCAAAAGAATGGCATTCATATCAGAAATGGAAAAGTTCAGGGGTGCATTTCCAAAAACCCTTCAGAAGCTAGTGAAATATATTTTTGCTATGTTTTCTCTGGCTTTTGAATCTCCACAGATGTGAGTGTGTGATAAAATGTGAAAAGAAGTATAAGCAACTACTTATGCTCTCGTCAGATTTAATTGCAAAGAAGAGACGGGGGCGAGTGGCTTCTGCCCAGCTAGATGTTTGTGGGGCCTGGAAAACATGGGGTGAGCATTTAGGGTGCTTTACAAAGCTGATCCATAGAAGAATGGTGATGGCCAACATTTGTGGCTCTGTATGTTGGATATTTGGGCTCCTGTCTTCTGGTATTCATCCTGAAAGATTCATAATCCTTTTGGGAGTGTGGTCAGTGACAAGAGTCGAAGGAAATCCTGAAATGTGGAAAAACTAACTTTTCCTAATATAAAACTGTTCTAAAAAACCCCTCAATCCTATGAATATGTTTCCAGATTTTCAGAAAAAAGCGCTGATTTACAGATTTTTTTTTTTTTTTCTGGTAAGGCTCTAACGTCAAACCAGTAAATCTGAATCTTTTCTTTGATTCTGGCATTGGCCTGGACATAGATAATTCAGAAGAACATAAGGCCACACCTTTTGGGTACTTCCTATAACAAATGGCTCAAAAGTGGAGAAGAGACTAGAAGGAGAAAGGGAACGGGACAAGATACACAAAGACTGAGCTCAATGAGAACCTAGGAACTCTACTAAAGAAAGGAAAAACGGCAGTTCAAAAAATCTGGATTATGTGCAAGCAAGAGTGTCTGGACAGGACAGTCTGGGTCCTTGGAGGCTTCCAGGCTGTGACAGAGGCTGCATGCCCTGTCCCATGGCAAGCTCTCTCGTGCAGTCACCCTGAAGACTTCATTCCACCGCTAGCCCTCTGTTCAAATCCCCAAATTCCCAGTAGAAGAATCTGGTTGAGAGCCTCCAGCACCTTCCTGGGACCTTCTGCTGCCTTTTAACCATGGGGACATTTGCAGCCTCTTGGGAGAATTCCTTCCTCGCCTGCCTTCCTCCTCCTGTGGACCCCTTTGTGTTGTTGCCCGAGGATGGACTGGATGGAGGATTCTCTGGAGGGTTTCTGCTTCTTTTCTGCCTGTTTTTTTTTTTTTTTTAATATGGAAAGTAGAAACCGGTAGTACTCGAGATTACCGCACCCTTGCATAACAGGAGCTGTTAATCCAAAGAGAAGGGGGCGAGGGTTGTTTTGTACCTTGAAGCCAGCAGTGGGTAAGTGGTGGCTGCGTTTCTCTTGCTAGTCAGAAGGAAGAGACACGAAGCTATAAAACCACATACTTTATGCGCAGCTGGTGAACTGTTGTTTCATTATAAACCTCCTCTCTGTACAAGAATTACCTCAAGGGCAGAAAAATGGCCACCCCCAGTGACAGCACTACCTGTCAATCTCCAAGAATCATGGGACATTTTCTTAGACTAGGAAAGCAGGACTCTAAATCCCTCCCTCTTCGCCTGTTGATGTACACCGTTAAAGGAGTCCCTCTTAGTTTCTTGTCTTAAAAATAGTAAGTTGTGCATGTTCACACAGGGATTGAATAGGCACATGTGTGTGATATGAAGGAGGAAGCTTACTGCTTCCTGTTTCTACTCTGTGTAGCCTTTATGTATTGTTTATTCTATAAAAGTATATCTTTGATTGCTAATTTTTATATTTATGTGTTAAAGCATGGATAAGTAGAAAATATAAGTGCACCATAAACATGTATTTTAGCATAAGTATGCAATAGTCGCAGTCTATCTTTTCTATAGCTGTCAGTCTGCTTTTTGATGCTTTGACAGGATACCCCAGGACTTATTAAAGACAAGGCATTTAGCTCTTCATCATTTTGGAGGCTAGGAAGTCATCCAGCACCGCGTCTGGTAACGGCCCTCTTGCTGTGTCCCTTGGGCAAAGGGTGTCCCATGGAGAGAGAAGCCGTATTCATGCTAACTAACACACTCCACACTGGCATCAGCCCCTCCGGGAGGCAAGGTCCTCATCCCTTCCTTCATATAGCAGGCGTTTCAGCTCTAAAGCAGGGTACTGTGCTGCTGCCCTCCACCCATGATTTTCTCCCTTGGGCCCCTGAGTCACTCCCAGCCTTGACGCTTGCATTTCCTTCTTCCTGCCACACTTCGGAGGCTCTGATAGAACCAATTTCTGCTTCACAAGGCCCTCCCCACCCTACTCGAGGTCCAGCTGTTCTGCTGCTTTCCGTTTGGTTTACCTCTCCCCCGTCCCTCTGTTCCAGACTGTTTCGTGTGCAAACGTGAAGGAGAAACATTTTCCCCTTCTGCTTTCACAGCAGAAGACTTCTGTGGTTTCAGAAAGCGTGAGGTTTTTCCCTGCCGGAGAACCCCTCTTCTCACGGGAGAACCTGGAGTGGCTCCAACGGAGACTCCCGAGATGGTGCTCCTTCCCGAATCTGATGGCCATGACAAGGCCAGCTATGACCCCGCTTCTCACTGGTTAGAAACAGGATTCTCACAACACTGCCCTCAAGGTTGATGGGCCTTCTAGAACCCCTCACAGGCCTCAGGAAAACATGCTCACTGGCTGCTCTAGCTTGTTTTCTATCCCTGTGATAAATGGCATGACCAAAAGCATCTCAGGGAGGGGAAAGGGCTGGTATCATTTTACAGTTTCCAGTCTGCCGTGATGGGAAGTCAAGGCAGAAACTCAAGGCAGGAACCTGGAGGCATCGACGGAAGCAGGTGCCATGGAGGAGTACTACTCACTGGGTTCTTCCTCGTGGCTTTTGGTGTCTGCTTCCTTATATAACCCGGAACTACTCCGCCAGGGGAGGCACCCAGATAATGGGGCTGGGCACTTCCATATCAGCCATCAATCATTAATCAAGAACACACACCACAGACTTGCCTATAGGTCAGTATGGTGGAGACATTTTCTCAATTGAGGCTTCTGCTTCCCAGATGACCCTTGTGAACACTAGCTTGTGTACACTTGGTAAAAACTGAACAGCACACTGGTTTGTTCCAAAGAACGTTACAAAGACATGAAGAGCTGTGCTGGGCAAGGGTTTCTCAGCCCTTTCTGGACACACCCCTCCTTCCTCGGGAATGCTACGTTCTTTGGGATTTTTTTTTTTTTTTTTTTTTTTTTGAGAGACTGCACATGAAGACTGACTGATGAAAATTTTGGCCACTAGTGACCAACTTCACCTCCAGGCCTGCTCCCCTTTCCCGAAGCTAACTGCTAAAGCTGAAATTCCCAACCCTTGGGTTTCCTTTACCCTCTTGAGGACAGCCGAAATCTTGACCCCAAACAGGTATCAGCCAACACATTAGGGTGGAAAAGGCATGGATCACTTTGACGATTACAAAGATCTAAGAACGGGATGTCAGAAAACTGGGCGAAGACCCAAACGCGTGCATTTCTTAATGTTAGTAAGAGAAAAGTTCAGATGTAGATTGCGTTGCCCAGTGCACTGGTCAGGAACGGGGGGGGGGGAACCCTTTATTACCTCGACGTACGACCTCCCTCTTCGGTCACTCTCTTCAGGTGTGCCCCTGGCTCTACTTCATTCCTCCATATCACCCACTTCTGTAGCTGCTTAAAAGGAGCCCAACTGTGAATGCCGGCGCTTAATTGGAGTGACGTTTTATGATGCTCCGTACAGCCTTTCCACGCTCTGGCTCGCCATAATTCATTTAACAAATTATAACCCACTCAGAGAACTTTTAAAAGTTTTATGTGCTGTGTATGGGGAGACTCGTTTCCTCACCGTGGAGTCATCTGAAAGGGATTGTGGCTTTATTTAACCTTTATATGGTATTGTATCTTCCTAGGGGGGAAATCAGACAGCAACAGTGATCGCCTTGTGCTCCATGAAGGACTTCAATTTAGCACAGGAGACCTGTCAGCTGGCGATTAGAGACGTTGGAGGTCTTGAAGTCTTAATAAATCTGCTTGATACAGATGAAGTCAAATGCAAGGTAAGGACTCCCGGTGATGGCCGAGAAGTCCTGTGTCCACTCACAGCCGTGGAAGCCGTGGGTATCTTTTGCACCCCTCTGTCCTGTCCTTTACTGTCATTGTCGATGGCCCACTAGCTGCACTTTCTTTTCCTTCTCCTTTCCCTTTTTCTCTTTCTACAAGCTGCTTGTGCTTTTGGAATGAGAACATAAATGAAGGAAAAATATAAAGAATGTGGGTAATCTTCAGGGATGTGAACTGTTTCTTAAAAACCCTAATTGGGGAAGGCTCTCAGGTAGACTCAGACTGTTTAAAAAGCATAGCGCTGGGAATATATTAAACTCTCAATCATCTGTCACCTTTTCTCCCCCACACAGATCGGCTCATTAAAAATCCTGAAGGAAATCAGTCATAATCCTCAAATCAGACGTAATATTGTTGACCTTGGGGGCCTACCAATTATGGTTAATATACTCGATTCTCCACACAAGAGTCTTAAGTGTTTGGCAGCTGAGACGATAGCGAATGTTGCCAAGTTCAAGAGAGCCCGGCGGGCAGTGAGACAGCATGGAGGCATCACCAAGCTGGTGAGTACCACCACCATCTCCAGACACTGGCACCCACGCAGCCCTGCCTTCCAGTCTCACCTGCTGCTCGCTGCTGCTAGCCACTGTGATGTGTGGCCTAGGAGTCTTCTGTGTTCTCTCTTTTGGAACACGTCTTTAAGAATGATGTACACGAATGTACGTGAGCAAGGGCCATAAAGCGATGTTCGGCTTCGGTTTTCAAATAATAAAGAAGTTCTAAAATAGCGTCACCTGAGGCATTGGTTAGAAGCCACTGCAAGGACAGCAAAAAAACAGAAGGTGGTAATTCCAAGGCAGCATTGCAGCTTCGTGATAGACGGAATGCGTACTGTGTGTGAGGCCGTGGGCTAAATCCCGGGATGAGGGAGAGATTTGGGGGAGGTAGGAGTGAGGTGGGGAGGAGAGGGGCAGAGGAGGGGAAGGAGAGACGAGGCTCGGGGGGGGGCAGCTCCAGTAGCCCAGCCATTGGTGTGCTGACTCACATCAGGACCCCCTCCATGGGGACAGTCAAACCATATGAAGGCAGCCTGGGTGCGGACACTCTTCATCCCGTGAAAGTTTGTCTTGCACCTCTGAAAAGTGTCTGTGTTCGGTGGCGGCGGCGGCGGCAGCGGCGGCAGCACTGCGTTTTGGAAGAGTAATATTGCATTAATATTTTATGTTATGTAAAATCATAACAGGATCAAATTGTTGATAAAGAACTGCCCACCACGGGGAAGTCTACACACACGGTTAGAAATGTACACCAGAAACACAAAAGGACTTCCTCACGGAGGGCTCTCCTGGTGGCTGCTGGACTTGAGGGGAAAGCTATGGAAATATTTAAAAAACATGAATTTCCATTAGCTCATTTATCTTCTGTGTATAACACTTATGTTATTACTCAGGAAAAAAATGATTATTTCAGTAACTGCCATCAAAAGAAAAAGCATCCTGCACCCTGTTGCTCCATCATCACAGACCTTAGAAAAGTAAATGCTGGGGGCTGGTGAGTGGAGTGAGCAGGAGTGCTTGTCACCAACCTGACCTGTGTTCAGTCCTGGAACGCACATGGTGGAAGGGGAGCGCCAACTCTCACCTGCTGTCCTCTGATCTGCACACACACACACACACACACACACACACACACAGCTGTACACACTACACCCACAGCAAACATACACACATTTAAATGTCAGGAGAAATGCAATAATTAATATGACTATCACATTATGAGGTAGATAAGTGTGTCCGTCCATTAAAATAACTCCCATAAATTATAAGAATAAAAAAATAAATGCCAAATATGGGTCTTTGAATCTCACATCACATTCAGGAACCTAGTGTTTGTCCAACTGCACTAACCTAATAAGAGAAGGACTCCCATTTGATTGTGATGTGAAATAATGGGCAAATTAGGAATAGGAACGGTCAGCACGGATGGCTGCTCTGAGTTCTTGGGCTGAGAATGTGCCAAGGCGCAGGGTACAGAACAGAAACGAACACACCTCTCTGTCAGACAGGGAGAAGACAGGTGTGTAAACTGTCTCGTGCTTGGTAGGCATTCAGCTGAAGCCAGCCCGTCCGGGGAATGGTACAGAAATAGAGGAGGGTGGGCGGTCAGTTCTCCTCGAAGGGGGAATGGCAGGAAAGGCTGGAGGAGATGCTGCTTGATGGCTCGGAAGGTGTTTGGTAGACAGACACACCAGGAAAGGTGTTTCAAGAAGATAAGGCCACGGCTGACATGGAAAGTTCCCAAGTTGCTCCTGGTTCAATGTGGCCGAATCCATGATAAGTTGGCTGGAGTAGTGAGTGACGTGAAAACAGGAGGGTGTGCTGCCACTACGGGCCTTATCCAGAGAGTTAGAGGGGGTTAAGTAGTTTGAACTTTAGAGGGATAATGAGAATAACTGTTGCAGACAGACAGTTAGGGCTGTCTGCCCTGAGCAGCCCCACCATCTCAGAACTCTCCTTCTGACTGTGATGTCTCTTGTAGTTCACAACTGAAAGCTGCGGCCATCCTTGCCTCCTCGCTCCTGTACCTCCTCACTCCTGGACTCTGTTGTCCTTGAGGCCATAACTAAATAAACCAAGAAATTGGAATTGAGATTGAGGCTCTGTTTAGGATTGGGTGTTTCCTTCCAAATTTGGCACAGGTAGTTTAGACTCTGTGGTGAATAACAGTGGGATTTGGCCAACATAAAGAAGAAACAGTAGGTGTGAGTTGGGATTTCTACACCCCCAGATAAAGATATGGAGCTTGAAGGCTGACAAGTAGCCTCCCTGGGGGTGAGGAACAGCTTTAATTCCTCCACAGGGAATCCTGACCTACTGCTATGTCCCTTTAGAAAATTGTCCCTTTAATGTCTTTGGTGATTTGGTCATTAAAAAGAAAAACGGAGGAGGACACTGGCAATTTAGTTTAATGGGTTCTGTCAGCATGTGTGCATAGCTGTGCCCTTCCCCGCATGGTTTTGAGAGGCATAAGCCGTCCAGCTTGTTTTGCAAAGCTTTGCTGGCTTTGGAGAGCCTGGGGTTTGAAATGCTGGCAGTGACAGCGTGGGTTATAATAGCTGTCATCCTGTTGTTGCTTGTACAGAGGTTTCGCCCTACAGTCTGGGCTAGCCTCACGCTGATTAGCCCAGATTGATCTTGGACCCTCGGTCCTGCCTATGACTTCTGAGTGCTGTGATTATAGGTACACACCTGATTTACAAACACTACCAGAAGTTCTAGAACTGTACTAGAAATACTGTCTTGGTGAGTATTTTCTCAAGGGAAGAACACACAAAAGGCCCAGAGCCAGAAGAAAGCAGATGCGATGCTTTGTTTCTTTGTTTCCAGTACTGAAAGACCGACTCACTTTTATTTTAAACACTTCCGTGTTTGGGCTGCTGGGATGGCACAGCCGGTCAAGACGCTTGCTACCAAGCCTGTCATCCTGAGTTCAATCCTCAGGATCCACATCACGGAAGGGAAAAACGGGCTCCTGCAAGTTGTCCATGGACCTGCACACACATGGGTCTTGTATGCACATGCCCTCACAGGCACACACAAGCACACCCTTAAGGAGAAATAGGAAAGGTGGCTGTGTATGTTCTGCGTCTGCTCCCGCAGGTCGCTCTTTTGGACTGTGGACAGAACTCGACGGAACCGACGACGCAGCAGCAGCAGCAGAGCCTGTATGAGACGAGGGATGTGGAAGTTGCTCGCTGCGGGGCGCTGGCCCTCTGGAGTTGCAGTAAGAGCCATTCAAACAAAGAAGCCATTCGCAAGGCCGGGGGCATCCCCTTGCTGGCCCGGCTGCTGAAGACCTCGCATGAAGACATGCTCATTCCAGTGGTGGGGACGTTGCAAGAATGTGCATCAGAGGTGCCCAAGCCATTCTGCATCTTTTTGTTTGCCCTTCCGTCCCTCCTCCTCTTCCTCCTTCCATGCTTTTTATGTATGTGGACGTGGTTGTGAGTGTGTACATGCGTGTTCATGTGTGTGGTCACAATTAGGCCAGAACCTAATGTTGAATGTCTTACTAGATTACTCTCCACTTTATTTTGGGGGCAGGAATTCTTTTTTTTTTTTTTTAATTTATTTTACATCCCGATCACGGCCCCCTCCCTCCTCTCCACCTAGTCCCACCCTCCCACCATCTTCCCCCTTTCTCCCTGCCCTTCTTCTTAGAAAAGGGGACCGGACCGCCAACCCCTGTCATTTCTTGATGCACCCGAAGCTTGCTGATTGGGCTTGCCTAGCCAGCTAGTGTGCCCTGGGAACCCTGTCTCTGCCGCCTGGCTTTCAGGTGGGCACTGCTGACGGGAAATCTGTGCTCACGTCTTGCCTGCTGATCAGTGTGGGCACTGAGCCATCACCCCGGCCCACTTTTTCTCTCTTTAGTTAAGAAAATAATCTTAAATTTATGTGAAAGGTAAGGTTCCTCTTCTCCAGACGTCTTTTCTTCTTGAGAGAGCAAGAAAATCAAATGAATAGCACACTGGCTACCTTTCGTCCTCAACCTTGGCTAGCTCTTTTGCCACGTGGACACAGACTGGAGGCTTGGGCTTTGCTGTCTGATCAGTTCGTTCAGCATGGTCCCCCACAAATGGTCACGATCGTAGTCAGCTTATGCACACGCAAGTATTTATATCTTGCTATTTCTAGGAAAACTACCGAGCAGCCATCAAGGCAGAGAGGATCATCGAAAACCTGGTGAAGAACCTGAATAGCGACAATGAGCAGCTGCAGCAGCATTGTGCCATGGCCATCTACCAGGTGGGGGCCGGTCTCTACCCTGGGTCTCCCTCCTCCTGCAATTAAAGGCAGAGTCTCTAGACACGTCATCTCCTCCTCTGCGGTGCTCTGTTAGTTAGTGTACTGTGCCTCAAGCACCTGGCAAGAAGAAGCAGAGGGGAAAGAGTGACTGGGGCTCATCACTTCCGACCGTTACTTTGAAGCAGTGATTGTAGAGTTGGCCCAGTTCACAGTCACGGGGGAAAGTGGTAGAGAATGTTCGCATCAGTGCAGACAAGGAAGCAAGAGGGTGGGGTGGGGACACCGGGGAGGGGAAGGGAGAAAGGAGAGGGAGAACAGAGGCAGGATGCGGGCAGGAATAATGCACTGCGCACTGCTGTTGTTACGCCAAATCTTCATGCTGACACTCAGAAATCGGCAGTTTTGGCAGATAGTCCAGGGGTCTCCAAGACCTTGTAGGGCTGAGAACCACTGTCGTTGGTGGCGAAGCATTCACTCAAACATGTGGCAATGTATCAACTAGTCTGATTAGTTACGTTCCGTGAGACATTTGTGTCCTCCTCACTGTTTCTAAAAATATTTACTTAGGGTAAAATAACTCATTAGTATATGAGGACCCCTACGTTGCTTTTCACAGGTTCTGTTCAGAGACAGTGATCTTGGGGAAAGAATGGGCACGCACGCTCTCAGTGTGTTTGGTTGTATGTGGACACGGTTTTTGTTATGAGTTCACTTATTTCATTTTCCACTAACTATGGATTGTTTCCTGGTACACCGGAGCACAGATTAGGATGACCAGGTGGCCTCGAAAAACGAATGTCTGGCTGGTTATGGCCACACCAGCTTCTCTGTAATCAGAGTAGACTCACATGTGAATACTCTTAAGGACAGCGTACTAAGAGTGGACTACAAATGGAGTCCAAGACCCTCGGGGTTTGTATTCACTTTCAAAGGCTTCTGCTGCTAACCACAAAGCAGGTAGCTTCAAAAGAATTTTGCTTCTGGAGTCTGGAAGTGGGTGTCAAGGTGTCCACAGGGTAGTTTCTTGAGAAACCACTGTCCCTGACGTGCGGCTGACTGCTTTTTCCCGTGTTTTCATGTCGTGTCTCCGCACTATGTGCTGTAACGTCTCTTAGAGGAAGGGTATTCATCACAACTTAAGTGCTCACTTTAGGTGCTCATCACAACTTCTTGCCTTAACTGCTTCTTTAAGCCTCGTTCCCCGCAACACCCGCCACAGTCATATTCTGAGGCACTGGGTGTTAGACCTTCAATTTATGGATCTTAAGAGAGTATAGATAAATGTATATTAAAGGCAAATAGTCCTGATCTGCATGTGTGTGTGTGCGCGCGCACACACACACACACACACACCCCACTGAACCACAGTTGAAATCACAGGAGAAGGCTGGTTCCATGTAAGTTAGTTGTTAAGGCGTGGACTCTCCGGCCCAGTTGTAATTTGGGTTTACGAACTCTCTCAGCTCTCTACCTCTATCCATATGCCCCAGCCCAATCCTTCCTCCATGATACAAGGTCTTGGAGACCCCACTGGGTTCCCTGGAACTCTGATGCACGCTGTTGTGTAAAGGAAACAACTTGTGCTGAAGAACTCCCACAGATAAGCCTCACTGAATGCGCGATGACTTGCTCTCTGATGGCCTCCTTTGACGTTTCGCGCAGTGTGCTGAAGATGAGGAAACCCGGGACCTGGTGAGGCTGCACGGAGGACTTAAACCCTTGGCCAGTCTGCTCAATAACACCGACAATAAAGAGCGATTAGCGGCTGTCACTGGGGCGATCTGGAAGTGCTCCATCAGCAAAGAGAATGTGGTTAAGTAAGGCATTTACTGTTTCACAGCAATCTATCATGAAAGGCATAAAAGGTGTTTAATAAGGGTTCTCTCCGGCTATAGTCAATAATGTGCACGATTAATGTGGACCAAGGGTAGACTGCAAAGATTCTTAGGCATCTCCCCATCCTACGTCCCAGAAAGTTTGTGTGTAGCAGTGGCTGGCATGATCTTCTTGTGTGAATAGGCTGCTCTACATACGAAAACATAAATTTAAAATCTTTCTTATGTTCTCTACTGAAGTGAGAAAGTCTTTGCAAATAGAAGTGGCCTACACATTCTTCCTTATTAATTTTATTTATTCTTCTCTCACACAACACATCTTGACTATACTTTCCCTTCCTCCACTCTTCCTGGTCCCCTTCCCCCCTTCCTCTCTCCTCCATATCCACTTCTCCATTTTCTTTCAGAAAACAGCAGGCCTCCCGGAGATATTTTTAAAAAAATTATTTGTGTGTGTACATGTGTTCTGTGAGTGTGCATCTGAGGTCAGCAGAGAGAATTAGGCGCTTTCATCTCTCACTGTTACCTATTCCTTTCAGTCAGGGTCTCTCCCTGAGCCTGGGCTGGCTTTTTCCTCAGCTCAGTTGGAAGCCATCAGTCCCTAGTTGGAGCTATGGCGCCTGGTGGAAAGCACTCACCCAGCTTGCTAGTTGTGCTTATGTCTGAACTCTGGTCCTCATGCTTGCATGGCAAGGGTTATTAGCTAACTGCTGGGCCATCTTTCCTCCCTAGTTTCCATTTTTAGGAGACAAAGAGTCAGCTGAATGGTTCTAACCACTCTTAAATTAGTCAGCAGATGGCTACTAACCACTCTTACTGAGTAGGTATTTTCAGTTATGATTCTATTTAATTTTATTTTAATGTATTTGTAAAGGTTTGTGTGTTGGGAATGAAACCCAAGGCCTTATGCTTGACAAACAAGTACCCTACCACAGAATCTTTATGGTTCTACGTTGCTTTTGATTTTTAAAGTTGACTCTGTATCTATTTAGAATTCAAATTCTCCAGAATATTATAAGAATTTTTTTTTCTGTATTTTGTATTTTCTTTAAGAAATTTGCTTGTTCTAATGGAAAATAAGCTTACCTTGGAGTATACAACAGAATTAGTAACAGATCAAAGGTAGCCTCCATTAATGCGTATGCAAACCATATGAATGGCAGCAATACAATTCATTCACATCTGTACATAAACACTGATGACATTTATGAGAAAGGAGAAAATGTTATACAGAGAAATGGGAATTCTGAAATACAGGTGATTCATTTGATTTAAACGCACACTGAAAAAGATCAAAGTAAAATTACATGAAGATGGATTCTAAAACTTACCACTGACTAATAGTGAAGCAGTCTGAGAAGACCAATCAAAATGTTTTATTTAGTATTCATGCATGTATATGACATGTTTAGATCAAATAATTCACGCTGTTCTTACCACTTCCTCCTTTCTCCTCCTCCCAAGTTTACATGCTCTATTTTTTATCACCCACTGAAGACATCAGGTGATGCCTGTGTGTGTGTATAGCCCTTTAGAGCCACATCCCTGAAGAGAAATGGCTCTTTCTCTTCTCATGTTGGGTGGCACATCAGGAGCCCCTCCCCTGCCCGAAATGGCTGGATTGATTGTGTCCAAGCCTTGTGGCGTGAAGTCCCAGGCCATGTGAGTTTGTGCGCACAGCTGCGCTGTTATGTCCAGCAGACAGGGTTTCACAGTGGCCATCTACTCCTTCTGGCTCTTATGGCATTGCTGGTCCCTCTCCCATGACTTGAGGGGGAGGTGACTTAGAACTGAGTACCTCACAGTGACTTGTTCTGTGCTCACTGAGCTTGTGGGTCTACTGCAAAAGCAGCTTCTCTGCTGGGATTCAGAGACGCATGGATCTATGGGTAGAAAGATGAGAGCTTAGAGGACGGCTTAATACTCTTCCCACCTAGCAGAACAATCATCGCTGGTGCTCTCCTGGGGCACGTGACCCAGCTAGTCCTGGGGTTCGAGTCCAGTTAATTCTGTCTCACCTCTCGAGAAAACCCTGTGGGCATCCTTGTGTTGTTCCTGATTTTAGCGAAGTGTTCTGAGCTTTTGTCTGAGGCGCATGCTACTGGCAGTCATTGTTCATTGCTTGTACTGTGTTTACATGTGCCCCGTGTCGTCCTAGATCCTCCGGGATTTTTACCCTGAAGGGATGTTGGCCCTTTCTGCAGCTAAGGAAGATGATCATGTGGTTTTTGCCCTTGAGTCTGTTTGGTGGACTGCAATTGCTGGTTTCCATAGGTCAGAGCAGAAAACTTTTAAAATTTGAGTTGCAGTAGCTCTCCTGCTCATTTTTGAAACACAGTGATTCTATGTAGGTCCAAAAAAGAAAAAAAAGAGAAATACATAATGCAATTCATTCCTAATATGTGTTTAATATAGTTTCTTCTAATATAGGTTTATTATAGTTTGTTCATGTAAGTTAATCTCTGTGAGAGGAAAAACTTAGAATGGATTCACAGATGCTAAGATTCATGGATGATCCTGGCTGTCTCAGGGGTGTCTGGGTGTGGGTGCCAGCCTTCCTGCCTAACAAGCTGGAGATCAGTTGTCTGATAATGGAGGTTGAAGGGTTGAAGGGCTTCTTCTCAGTAGGCTTGTTATACAGATCAAATGAGCACTGAAAATACAGCACATGGCTAAATTGCCTGATAAAAATAACTATTTAGAATAGCTGTTGCCTTCCTGAGTAGCTTTCCTGCTACCATGGCACCGTCAGCAGCCTCCTTTCTCTGCTCTTAGGTTTCGAGAATACAAGGCCATTGAGACCCTGGTGGGACTCCTCACGGATCAGCCCGAAGAAGTGCTTGTGAATGTGGTCGGAGCCTTGGGAGAATGCTGTCAAGAATACGAAAACCGAGTCATTGTCCGGAGGTGCGGCGGCATCCAGCCTCTCGTGAACCTCCTGGTTGGAATAAACCAAGCTCTACTTGTGAATGTCACAAAAGCTGTGGGCGCATGCGCAGCAGAACCAGAGAGTATGGCGTAAGTGGCCCTGGACACAAGGAGATTTTACCCGCTAGTGTTAAGGGAAAGGTTTGGATGGTCATAAAAGGGTCTGTCTCATCACTTAGAGTGCATGTGTACATGCGATGGACAACTGTGTTACCACATGAATATTCATGAGGTATCTAACCAGTACGTTATTTTGAAGAGAAGCGGACCTGTGCTGGGCACTGCTGGCAGGAGGAAGGATTTCCAAAAGCCAATAATCAATCTTACCATGTGGAAATCATGCACAGTCAGTAAAAAAAAAAATTCTCTGCCTTTTAGAGAACAATTGTTTCCATATATAGTCTCATGTTTCTTATTTCTGGTCTATTTAGAAAACATATTTGCATCACCTCTAAAGAGCAAAGAAATACCAAGGATTTTAAGCTTAATCCTTGAAGAGATTATTGTGTACATAAGAAATAGAAGATTTAAATGTGAATTGAAAATATGTTGGAAAAGCCATTGGTCCTGAGCATTTGTGAACTTTTTCAGTGTTCTGACTATAGCGTGACATCGATTCGGGTGTGAAATATTATACAGCCTGTAGAGGTGAGGTGATGCTTACAGGAGGGTGTGCCTGCAGCGCGCTCGGACACCGCACCTCTGTATGAAAGGGGTGCGAGCACCCGCGCACTTGGATGTTTGTGGGAGATCCTGCACCCTAGCCTTAGCAGCTGTCAGAGGACAGCTGTGTATTTCTTTATGCATACTTTATACATACTTACCTACCTACACTCACCTGTGCATATATCTACGGGTGCGTCTACCTACCTACCTACCTATGAGAGAAAAAGTTTATTTTGCGAGTTTGGCTTCTACAATGGTGCAAGCTTGGTGAGTTCAAAATCTAACAGAGGTTGGGTTGGAGACCGGAGACTCAGGCTATCACTGTGCTGGCAGAATTCTTTTTTGTCCAGGAACGGTCAGGTGATAGCCAAATGTATGATGAGGGTGATCCATTTTTACCCCAGCACCTTAAGTGTTAATCACGCAAAATACCTTCCATAGAAATATGTTGCCTAACACTTGCCAAAAATGTGGGAACTGAGGACCAACCAAGCTGACACATAAATTCAAGCATGACTAGCTCATCCATGCATGTCTGTAAGCCCTGTTTAAGACAACAAGGAGATGATACTTTTGTCCTGTGTGATTCCACAATCCACGAACAACTGGAAACTGCGCCCATCACTTCCAAAGAGTTCTTTGGCCGTGTTTGTTCTTCCTTTCAATAACCCTTAATTCAGTCACTATGTAAAGTGAACAGTACTTAGATACAAGGATGTAATGTTCACAAATCTCCTGTTATAAAATGAAGGGGATAAAGGAAGGGGGAGGTAATATATAATCCTCCATAAAATGTTTATAGCAAAATAAGGAAGGAATCGTCATTTCTTGCAGTTCTTGTTACTGGTCACGTGGTTATACCTCGTACTGTAAGCTTCCACTGTTACCCTTAGCAAGCACATCACCCAGCTGTGGATTTTATTTTTATTTGTTGAGTGACTCAAATTTATATTTCTCAAAGGTCTGGGGCCTTAGTTGCTTTCTATTGCCACAGTAAGACCCCATGATCAAAACACTAAATAGAGGAAAGAGTTTACTTGAGGTTTTTTTGTTTCAGAGGGTGAATTCATGACCTTTGAATTTGAGAGAGCATGCAGCAGGCAGCAGGCACGGTGCTGAGGCAGTGGCTGAGAGACTCTCTACCCACCAGCAGGAGGCAGAGGCAGAGAGAGCTGTTTGGGAATGGCCTGGGCTTTTGAAACCTCAAACCCCACCCCTAGTGGCCCACCCAGTTCCCCTAACAAGACCATCGCTCCTAATCTTTCCCAAGCAGCTCCGCCAAGTAGGGCCCAACACTCAAATATATGAATCCATGGAGGCTGATCCATTCAAACTACCAGAGCAGTTTTGGCTGGATCAGGTTGCTGTACTTTTCCATTGGCTCTAACCATAGATTATGGCAGTACTGAGCTATATCAGGGGACCCCCGTATTTCAGACAGACAGGTCCTTCTCTAGTCTCACTGGAATGGCTCCTTGGTAGTCAGTGGTCACTTCCTTCTCTACCTCATGGTAGACTGACTCACAAGTCATCCACAAGACGCTATTATTAATCCATATCTTGGTGACTACACAGAGATTAGAGCCTGTTCTTATGGAATCCTTATATATCTCATTGTCAATGATCCTGACAAGCCATTTCAAGTTCACTGCTTCCATCACGCAGCACCCAGCTTCTCTTAATATTTTAAGTAGATGTAGTTTTGAATTTTCAGTCAAATGCATTGAAGAAAAGGTCAGGGAAATTACCTTTATTCTTCTTCTGATTTTTGGAGATTCTAAATTTGGAAACACCAAAATGGAAAAAATAAAACAAAACAAAACAAAACAAACAAACAAACAAACAAAAACACCTAGGCTTCAAAGTTTCAGTTCTGGAGAAAAACAAGTAAAACGAAAACTTTAAGAGCTGAAAATGTCAATAAATGTGTCTATGAGTCAGTCTACAAAACTCTCTGTGGATCTTTAAGAAAGGGTTTACTTATTGTAGGGGCTATAAAAACCATAAAACACTAAAAGCTAAAAATAAAACGTATTTTCCCAAGCAAGGAAATCATCAGTTCTACAGATCTGAACTGTGAGATACATTTGTCAAAGGTTGTGAATCGTTGACTTGAAAGTAACATAGTGGATCTGCCATGCCTCTTGAGGCTCCACTCCAAATAAGACCTGTGCATGTCCAATGCACAGACATCATTACTTTTTACGGAGAGCAGGTCGGAGAAGTGAATGGCCTCAGAAAAGTATGGAATTCCCTGCAGGATACACAGTTATGCATTATAAAACATCAGGAGAAATGGAGTCAGGAGAGTCATATGTCAGCGCTGGGGATTCTGGGTGCCAAGGATGTGGAGACAGTGACTGTCAGATTGCTGCAGACTGAAGCTCTAAACCTAGGAGTCAACCTGATTAACTGTTGAAATGCTCAGAACTGGATAGAGGTGTGTTCCCTAGACAAACAGGAAGGAATGCTTTATGGAATTCCATGAAGAAACTATCTTAACGGCCAACAGATAAATTCAGATAAATCATTTTTTTTCCTGCAGCTGCAGAACTCAAGTTTTTCAAAAAAATTAAATAAGGCAACGCAAACCACTTTAAGAAGCAGATGGTTATGGAATAAAGGAGGACAGGGGCCGGAGAGATGGTTTGGTGAGTGAGGCGTTGCAGTAGAAGCCTGAACATCTGGGTGTGCATCTTTAGCACATGCTGAAGAGCTGGGGTTGGTGGTGTGTTTCTGTAATCTCCACACTGTGCAGTAGAGGCAGGAGGATGGGGGGGCGGGGCTTGGCTAATCAGTCTAGCCAACTGGTGAGCTTCAGTTTCAATGAATGACTTTGTCTCAAAAACTAAGGTGGGGAATAGTGGAGGAAGCTCCCCGGCACCCACCGATGCCTATACCCATACACACACACACACACACACACACACACACACACACACACACACACA